CGAAAAAGCTTTCTCCACCTACGGCGAAAGTTAGGAGCACGTGGCGAATGTCATTTTATAAAACTCCACATTACGGGCAAGTGTATAGCTTGTTCAAAATGTCGAGACAATTTGGGTAACGTAATGAGAAACTCTATTTCCCTTTCATACTTTAATTGAGTATACTCGACCTTTAGAGCGAGTGTCTCGCTTGTGACAAATGTCATTTCGTATTCTTCCACAGTGCGAGCAAGATTATAGCTCGATCGAAAAGTCGAAAAATTTTACTCCGTAGTAGCAACTTAATTTCACTTTGGAATACCTCGAAAAAGCTTTCTCCACCTACGGCGAAAGTTAGGAGCACGTGGCGAATGTCATTTTATAAAACTCCACATTACGGGCAAGTGTATAGCTTGTTCAAAATGTCGAGACAATTTGGGTAACGTAATGAGAAACTCTATTTCCCTTTCATACTTTAATTGAGTATACTCGACCTTTAGAGCGAGTGTCTCGCTTGTGACAAATGTCATTTCGTATTCTTCCACAGTGCGAGCAAGATTATAGCTCGATCGAAAAGTCGAAAAATTTTACTCCGTAGTAGCAACTTAATTTCACTTTGGAATACCTCGAAAAAGCTTTCTCCACCTACGGCGAAAGTTAGGAGCACGTGGCGAATGTCATTTTATAAAACTCCACATTACGGGCAAGTGTATAGCTTGTTCAAAATGTCGAGACAATTTGGGTAACGTAATGAGAAACTCTATTTCCCTTTCATACTTTAATTGAGTATACTCGACCTTTAGAGCGAGTGTCTCGCTTGTGACAAATGTCATTTCGTATTCTTCCACAGTGCGAGCAAGATTATAGCTCGATCGAAAAGTCGAAAAATTTTACTCCGTAGTAGCAACTTAATTTCACTTTGGAATACCTCGAAAAAGCTTTCTCCACCTACGGCGAAAGTTAGGAGCACGTGGCGAATGTCATTTTATAAAACTCCACATTACGGGCAAGTGTATAGCTTGTTCAAAATGTCGAGACAATTTGGGTAACGTAATGAGAAACTCTATTTCCCTTTCATACTTTAATTGAGTATACTCGACCTTTAGAGCGAGTGTCTCGCTTGTGACAAATGTCATTTCGTATTCTTCCACAGTGCGAGCAAGATTATAGCTCGATCGAAAAGTCGAAAAATTTTACTCCGTAGTAGCAACTTAATTTCACTTTGGAATACCTCGAAAAAGCTTTCTCCACCTACGGCGAAAGTTAGGAGCACGTGGCGAATGTCATTTTATAAAACTCCACATTACGGGCAAGTGTATAGCTTGTTCAAAATGTCGAGACAATTTGGGTAACGTAATGAGAAACTCTATTTCCCTTTCATACTTTAATTGAGTATACTCGACCTTTAGAGCGAGTGTCTCGCTTGTGACAAATGTCATTTCGTATTCTTCCACAGTGCGAGCAAGATTATAGCTCGATCGAAAAGTCGAAAAATTTTACTCCGTAGTAGCAACTTAATTTCACTTTGGAATACCTCGAAAAAGCTTTCTCCACCTACGGCGAAAGTTAGGAGCACGTGGCGAATGTCATTTTATAAAACTCCACATTACGGGCAAGTGTATAGCTTGTTCAAAATGTCGAGACAATTTGGGTAACGTAATGAGAAACTCTATTTCCCTTTCATACTTTAATTGAGTATACTCGACCTTTAGAGCGAGTGTCTCGCTTGTGACAAATGTCATTTCGTATTCTTCCACAGTGCGAGCAAGATTATAGCTCGATCGAAAAGTCGAAAAATTTTACTCCGTAGTAGCAACTTAATTTCACTTTGGAATACCTCGAAAAAGCTTTCTCCACCTACGGCGAAAGTTAGGAGCACGTGGCGAATGTCATTTTATAAAACTCCACATTACGGGCAAGTGTATAGCTTGTTCAAAATGTCGAGACAATTTGGGTAACGTGATGAGAAACTCTATTTCCCTTTCATACTTTAATTGAGTATACTCGACCTTTAGAGCGAGTGTCTCGCTTGTGACAAATGTCATTTCGTATTCTTCCACAGTGCGAGCAAGATTATAGCTCGATCGAAAAGTCGAAAAATTTTACTTATCCGTAGTAGCAACTTAATTTCATCTTGGAAAACCTTGAAAAAGCTTTCTCCACCTACGGCGAAAGTTAGGAGCACGTGGCGAATGTCATTTTATAAAACTCCACATTACGGGCAAGTTTATAGCTTGTTCAAAATGTCGAGAAAATTTACGCCACGTAATGAGAAACTCTATTTCACTTTCATACCTCAAATGTGTGTACTGAGCTCTTGATGCGAGTTTGTAGCTTGTGACAAATGTCATTTCGTATTCTTCCACAGTGCGAGCAAGAGTATAGCTCGATCGTAAAGTCGAAAAATTTTACTTATCCGTAGTAGCAACTTAATTTCATCTTCGAATACCTTGAAAAAGCTTTCTCCACCTACGGCGAAAGTTAGGAGCACGTGGCGAATGTCATTTTATAAAACTTCACATTACGAGCAAGTGTATAGCTCGTTCAAAAAGTCGAGAAAATTTACGCCACGTAATGAGAAACTCTATTTCACTTTCATACCTCAAATGTGTGTACTGAGCTCTTGATGCGAGTTTGTAGCTTGTGACAAATGTCATCTCATATCTCTGTACATTACGAACGAGTGTATAGCTCGTTTGGCAGGTCGAAAAATGATACGCCACCCAATGAGAAATTCTATTTCACTTTCATTTCTTCTATGAGTGTACTCGACCTCTGGAGCGAGTGTGTAGCTCGTGTCAAATGTCATTTCATATTACTTTACTTTACGAGCAAGTGCATAGCTCGTTGGAAAAGTCGAAAAATTCGACGCACCTAATGAGAAACTCTATTTTACTTTCATACCTTAAATGAGTTTACTCGACCTCTGGAGCGTGGGTATAGCTTGTGACAAATGTCATTTAATATTACTATCCACTAGGAGCAAGTTCATAGTTTGTTTAAAAATGTCGAATAATTTTACTCCACCGCAGGAGCAACTGAATTCCACTTATAAATACCTTGAAATAGTCTTCTCCACCTACGGCGAAAGTGATCTTTTTGCCATGGTTCTTTTCCTTCAGCACTGTTGAAATATTCTTGTTAACGTTAACATTTTGATTCGCAGTACCGACATGTAAATGTGGCTATTTTCAATTCCAGGGAGAAGTTTTTTTGTAATGAAGTAATCCATAAATATTACTCTTTTTAAAATATTTGAAAAACGAGTCATTCATTCAGATTACTCTTTTTAGAAAAGACTACTCTTTGCAGAAGAGTATTGAGCGCAGATAATTATTTTTTCCAAAAATGGATTGATTGGATTTCTTGAGTTTAGTGCTGCCGTGCATCAAGTGCTTTCAATCTATGTCTGATAGCCTTCCCATCACTATTGTGACCACGGCCGTTGCGGCAATAACACAATCTTTTTTTTACAATAATTTACGTATGATTAATTCTGTGATTTTAGATAATGTAAGCTTCGATTAAATCGCATCTGCCACATCCCATTTCTTTATTGTTCATATCCTCGGTTGCCTCATTTTCTCTGCAGGCAATCGACGAGCATCCTGTTGTCGTAGCGTACCGCCCGTCTCAGCGGCGTATCGCCGAAGACGTCTTGGACGTCGACTCGCACCGGACGATATCTCTTTTCATTTGAAGTCTCGGACTCAAACGTCGAGACGCCAGCGAACGCGACGCAACCCCCACCACTTGACAGCGCAGAAATTGCGGCTTCAACTTTGTACAATTTTATTATTGTTAAGATTTCGAGAGATCAAAATTATTATTATGTCATTGTAAAATATAAGTATTTAAGAATGTAACCACGTTGGTTTGATTCATTAATTGTTAATAACAACGAAGTAATGATTTTTTGAAAAAAAAACCTATTTTCGTTAAAAAAGCACTTATGCAAGTTTATTTTTTTTTAAAAATCTGCGTTTCAATGTCAGCTATTGAACAAAAAAAGAATTATCTGGCTAACTATTATAATTGACGCTCTGCGTCTATTTGTTCATAACATAAAAAGTACCGAATTTTCATCGCATTATTTAACGTATGTTTTTTCGATTTTCCGTCTTAAACTTTTTACTACGTATAAGTACAAGTCTTAAACTTTCATTTGCGCTTCGAACGGACTCGCTATTGTTGCTAACAATCGAGATATCGCCTAGGACCTAGGGAGTGTTTTTATAAACAAATGACTGTTTCTCGAAAACTATAAGTCCGATTTCAACTTTTAAAAGCTCATTTTTTTTGTCGCAAAAAGACCTACATTTTGATGTAATGCAAGATACGATTTAACTGAAATTGTTTATAATAAATGAAATTGAAAAAATGGCCATTTTAGAGGGTTTTTTGCACTTTTCTCGGTAAATAATTAACGTAATTAATCGCGGTTGGGCTCAAATTAAAGGTCTAATTAATAGCTACAACTTTTATTTGAACCTTTTTTCGATTGCTATCCATGGAAAAGCTACAGAGGCGAAAATGTGATTTTTCCACCCTTCTAATCATCCCCCTACCCCAACCGCCGCTCAAAAAGTGACGCAGCTAAGGGTGCTTGTTGTACTCATCGGGACCAACGAATCCCATATGGTCCGGTGCTGGCACTAATTTTGTCAAAATTAACATTGTGTGAGTCTAATTTGACTGGACTATTTGGCTGAACTCGTTCAACACGCGCAGCGAGTTCTCCTTCATGCCGTCCTGCCTGCAGATCATGTGCAGAGCCGCCGATCCGCTGATCCAGTTGGTCAGATTGGGATTGTCGCCGTGTCGCAACAGCAGCTCGGCCGTCCTCTCGTTGTCGTGGATCAGGGCCAGGTGCAGCGAGGTATTGCCCTGAGTGTCCCGTTGTTCGATCATCATCCTCCTCACTTTGTCTTTGCGGGTCTCGAGCAACATCATGGCGATCTCATCGGCGCCGGCGTGCCAGCTCTGGCCGACGACGTGCAGAGGCGTCTCGCCGTTGGCATTTATCGCAGTCGGTCGGCGCCTCGTCTCAGCAGCGACTCGGCCAGCCTCTTGTGGCCCTTGTCCAGGGCCAAGTGCAACGGGCTGTCGCCCAACTTGGTCTGGGCGTTGACCTGTACCGGCCGTCGAATCTCTTCGCTGGTCATGAAGAACAACTCCGCCAAGTCGTCGGCCGTGTACTGCCTATTGCAAATGACGTGCAGAGGAGTCTGGCCCCAGGCGTTGGCTAGATTCGAACTGGCCCCCTTTCTCAGCAGCCACTCGACCAGCCTCGAGTTGTCGAAGCGCAGAACCGAGTGCAGCGGTGTGTCGCCGATATTGTTCTGGGCGTCGATTTTTATCGTCCGATAAATGTCGCGGCTCAGCTCGAACAGCATCTTCGCCGAGTCGTCGTCGTCGTCGTCTCGCCGGCAAACGACGTGCAGAGGAGTATCGCCTCACCTGTTGACCGCGTTCGGATCGCGCCTCTTCTCAGCATAAATTCGACCCCCCTCTTGTAGCGTATGTCCTTAGCCGTGTGCAACGGGGAATCAACTATCTCTTCTACCCGGGTAGGTTTGGGGTCTACGTTTGAGGGTTCTTTGGATTCAGGAACTGAGTTCATCATGATCAAATTAACGCGATCGTCTTTATAAACTGAGATTTTTCAAAAATCACAAAATCACTCGACGCAGTCGATGAAATCTTTCCGAGTTGCTTATACGCTGCGGCGTCTGAGGCTCAACTGATTATATACAAACGCTAGTTATACGATCTTATACATGGAGAGAGAAAAACGCGTGTCCCTCACTTTTCTAAAGCACTTATTACACTTTTTGCATTCGCCAAAAAACTTGCATTCGCGGCAATCAAGTTATAGGTGAAAGCAATGTGTCAAAGACATGCGAGCCGTTCGGCGAGACAATTCAAGAGCCGTTCGCAGCTTATACTGAATTATACGTTGACGAGTGATCGCATTGACCGTAGCAAGTGATTTTCGTGAAAGATTTAAAAATATTACAAATTTAATTATATATTTTAACAAGATTGTTTGATGGTAAAATGAACTAGGGTAAATTGCCCAGTTGATGACCGAATCGTTGTTTTTCAGCGTTAGAAAAAGTAGAAAAAATTAATGATTGCGATTAGAAAAAAAACTAAATAAATCATCGCATCGCCAATTAAATGTTAAACCGATTAAAATACAGGAAAATTATTTTAACATCGTTAATTTTATTAAAAGTGATGATTTCACGAGTCACCTCGAAAACGCCTGTTAATGACCACTTCCGAAAAATATCTCCAGTAAATGACCGGGCGACGTCAGCAAATGACCGATGTACTCTCGCATAAGTTTTTATCAAAATTAAACACTACCCTTTGTTTAGATAATCAAATCGAATCATAGATCCTTATTACTTGTTCAGTGCTGGTCGAATAAGTACCGTTTAAATTGATTTTATTCAATATCATGTCATCACCTCAAAGGGGGCGGGGTTCACCAGTCATGACATTTTATGACAGTAAGGGGGTAGGGGGTCAGTGAAGTATGACGTCATGTCAACTGCTTCGCGCACTCGTTACAAAATATACTATTCAAATGAATTGAAAATCCCAATTTAATTAATCCGAAAAAATCAATTTGACAGTTACGAATAAGTAATGATAGTTGAACGCCTAAGGTTCAAGTAGTACACAATCATTTCGGTACAATTTTTATTAACATTTTATAATAATAATATATATAAAAAAATATTTTTATATGTATCTATACATATTTACAATAGTCAATAATCATTTCATCAAGTACTTATCGAAAATAAAAACTTTACGACCCTCGTGAACTGTTTTTTATTGTGAAAGCAAATACGTTTTGTACCCTAATTTTTTCTGGTACCTGTCAGAAGCATATTCCTTGCCACATTCATCTACAGTCTGATGGTTGAGTAAATTCTCTTTACATCTGAATTTCTTTTCGCAACTTGTGATTTCCATGGACTGTATTTTGGTGTCTAATCAATTTCGATTTTTCTCCAAATTTCTGCTCGCATTTGTCACATGCGAAATCTTTACGACCTTCGTGGACTATCTTTTGATGCTTCAGTAAATTCTCTTTACGTGCGAATTTCTTTTTGCACTTGTCGCATTCATAATCTTTGCGACCCTCATGGCCTGTCTTTTGGTGTAAAAGCAAAACATATTTTCTTCCGAATTTCTTTTCGCATTTGTCACATGCGAAATCTTTGCGACTTTCATGTACAGTCCTGTGGTGGATTAACAAATTTGATTGCTGTCCAAATCTATGCTCGCATTTGTCACATACATAATTTTTTCGACCTTCGTGTATTATCTTTTGGTGCCTGATCAAATTCAATTTGTGTGCAAAAAACTTCTCGCATTTTCCGCATATGAAATCTTTGCGGCCTTCGTGGACTGATTTTTGGTGTCTGGTCAAAGTACATTGTTTTCCGAATTTCTTTTCGCACTTGTCGCATGCGAAATCTTTCCGGCCCTGGTGTACTACCCTGTGATGGCTGAGCAAATGCGATTTATGCCCAAATTTCTTCTCGCAATAAGGACATTTAAAATCTTTGATACCTTCATGGACTGTTTTATGGTGGATCAATAAATGCTCTTTTCGGGTAAATATCTTCTCGCACTTGTCACATGCGAAATTTCGGATACTCCCATGAACTGTTTTAATGTGCACGAGCAAAATCTGCTTATTTCTAAATCTTTTGGCGCACCTTTCACATAAATAATCTTTAAAAACTTCGTGGAAAATTTTTTTGTGCTTGAGTAAAGTTGATTTATTTTCAAATTTCTTCTCGCACTTGTTGCATCTGAAGTCTTCGCGATCTTTGTGTACTAATTTTTGATGCGTAAACAAACTTGTTTTTTTTACAAATTTCTTTTCGCACTTGTCGCATGCAAAATCTTTGCGGAATTTGTGTTCTGATATTTTGTGTCTACTCAGTTTATTTGAATTATCTTCTGGGACAATTTCGTCTGATTCCTTGCCACTTCTATCCATTTTGGTACTTAAATTAATCGATGGATCCTTCTATTAAGTGCCACGTAAATTTAACGAGTAACACTTATATTTGGTATTATGGCTTGAAAAACAATATTCCAAGTAATTTGTTTTGATTATTAGTAGGATCAGTGTGTCGACAGACGATGTAAGAATCGTTAATGATCATAATGTTCACATTATAGGTACCGATTTATCTGTTTACATATTATCGTTACAATATTTGTAACAATTTAAAATTTTAACTTGGCGAAGATTGTTCGAGGAGTTTTTGACTTTCTAAAACTAAGTATTTCCAAAAAAAAACTTTTAACAGATAACACAAAAAACATGAAATAAATATATCCTCATACACATGGCCGATTCTCTGTGAAGTCGAATGGCCAAAAAAATTTTTTTCTGCAAATATGAAAATCTTGTTCTATTTGATGTCAGATTCGTCCCAAAAATTTTTTAGAAAAATTGGGGCCTTCTATGACACTTTTTCAGAGGCCCAAAGTTGGCCATTTTTGGGTTTTTTTGAAATTCATGAAAAATCACAAATATTCTAATAATTCCTGGATCAGGGTAGGGTAAGGGGGGGTATTACTGCGGTTTTTTTAAGGCTAACTTCCATTTCCATATTTTGGTTGCGTAATAGTAATTAGGTACTTGATTTTTTGATATTCACCTCTTAGACACTCTCATTAATTGTTTTGACCACAATTCTATATTAATTAAAAGAAGAATCATTAAAAAATCTATGTTTTAATGCACAGTGATTTTACATATATTACTGCGGTATGTGTGTGTATTACTGCGTGCATATTACTGCGGATAGTATGCATTACTGCGGATTTGAAGAGAGCGAGTTTTCAACTTGGGGCAAAAGAATAAAGCATCATAATGAATGAATTAATTATTATTAAATAACAAGAACGTAAATAACAATATCAAATACAATAATAAAATTATTTTAGGCTAAGAAATTATTGAAATCTAGTTTTAATTGTTTCTCTTGCAAATGTACTATTGTATTTTGTGCGATGCTTCAGCTACGCTTATGTCCTTGTCCACATCGTCTACCACTAATGAAACTTTTTCTGCCGGATAGTTCTGGCGAGTAAGCTTAATGACATTTTTCTTTTTAATTACACCTTTTTTACTTTGCCCGTGACCCTATATCACGTCAAAATAATATCAAAAACAATAACAAAGATTAAGATTGAGGTTAAAGATGCAGCCGCTCACGATGCTAGCAGCGGCGCGGGCGCTGACTGTCATCCGGCAGTTCGCACGCTAAAACTAAAACTTCATCAAATAATATAAATAAGCTTTTATTAATTAAAAATATTGGCTCAATACTTCTTCAATAGTCAATACTATTATCTTAACTTTTAATTGTTATATCTGATAAACGTAAATACATTTTTTAATCCCTAGAATGTATAGCATAATATGAAATTATTAACTTTTTTTTCATCTAAAAATCCGAGCGATCTTATCATCATTCTATTCCACTTATAATAATATTTTAGGGCATGCCATTCTTCTAGAGTATTAAACATACCTAGATGTATATTGTTACATATTTAAAATTACAATTATTAAGATTGATGTATATTTATAATATGTTTTTCTAAACCCGCAGTAATAGGTGCACCCACAGTAATACCGAGTGATTCAAAAGTAAAAGTGCCCAGCAACTTTTTGTTGTAAATTGTCCAAATTTTCAAAAAAAAATCATTCCAAAGTGAACCACACATATAAGAATTTTAATATGATTCGATAATATGCTGCCCCCACACCATGGCGTCGTTGTCCGAGAAGGCAAAAAAATTTCCTATTAATTTTTGTAAATACGTAGATGTATAAATAAAAATAAATTACAGGCGATCCCCGTTATACGCTGATCCGATATAGGCGGTTTCACGATAACGCGGTTTTTTAAATGCGGCTTTGTCCATTTTACGCGGAAATTTGTTCCAAAATAACGCGGTTTTTTGAAGATAAATTCACGTCGAACATGCAATGTTTTGTTTTTATTTACGTAAACAAAACATTGTATGTGGTTATATTTAATCAAATTCTTTTTTCCGTTTTTAACTAAATTATTGCACAATGGCTCCGAATCGAAGAAGTTCACCACAAAAGAAAAAGGAGAAAAAAGTTATGACTTTGTCGATGAAGCCATAAGCCAAGATCCTATCATGAGTCGCAGCATGAAATTTAAGCATTTTTGTAATTCAGCAATGCAAGTTTATGAAGAACTCTATAAAGATTGTGTTAGAAGTAGAAAACAGTTACAACAAATTACCGATTATTATCGCAAAAAATGACTTAATAAATTTTTGACTATCTCGTATTCTGTGATTTGAAAAATTTTTGAAACCGCACCCCCTATTTCCTATATAAACAATGCTTCTTTATACGCGGTTTCGTTATACGCGGTACCCTCCAGGAATCGTACCCCCGCGTATAACGGGGATCGCCTGTACAATAGCTGCGAAATGTTTTTCTAAATAAAGCCGACGAAAGATATGAATAATTTCATTGAAGCGACAAGGTAATCCTCGAGTTATCCACTAAACGATGTTAACGGCACTGCTTGAGGTTGGCTTATTCAATTATTTATTTTCCGATTTTTGAGATCAATTTTCATAAAAAATAGCACGATAAAAATTACTGAAAAAAAATCACAGAGTTCCCCAGCGTACTTAAGAACAATATTATGAAGTTTTTATCGATTTCTCATTGATTCGATATAATCATCGAACTACATTGAACAAAAAAAAACCATTGGAAACTTAACGAAGCAAATAGATAAAACAATAAATTTTCTTCTTATCACCTCGCTAAATGTAATTTTTTTAATGCTTCTTTAAATCATTGACTGACAAGTCAATGTCAAGCGTTACATTAAAAGTTCTATAAAAACTGTTTTGCATTAAAAATGATGTTCAAAACAATGTAAAATATGATAAGATATCATGAAAATTTTATGAGTAGAAAAAAATCGAAACGAAAATTGCTGTGAAAACAAAAAAAAACTTCGTAATCAATAGTAGACTAAAGAAAACCGATTAATTCTAAGCTCTTTTCATTTCGCAAAAATTATCTCGTAAAGTCAATCGAGAACAGATTGACAATATATACTTGTTGTTAAATTCACTTACTTCGCAGTACTATAAATGTTTTCTTAAAAAGATATACACGAATCGCTCGAATCAATCAATGAGCTAGTCAATTTTTTTAAACAATTCTTAAATCATCTCATTAATTCTATAATATTCCGATCGGTACTTCGACACGGGGCGATCGTACAGCTCGTTGTTCTTCTTTGCGCCCGGTGTAAACAAGGTAACGAAAATTGCTCGCCACAACCGATAAAACTATTATAAATGGTACGGCTAGAAGGTAATGATCGAAGAAGCCATCGTAGTTCAACAAGTTGATTATGCGATCGGCGAAGAACCACGACAAGAACGTCAGGCGAAGAAACGTCGTCCAGGCGAGTTGTCGCATCATCTGCCAAGAGAATGCAAATAATATATAGCTCGAACGAAATGACTATTATTATATGGTTGATTCTCCCGAAGTCTGCTTTTTGCATGTCTTTATGCCATATTCTTAAACTAGTGAAGATAAGCCAAATCTGGATCGGTCGTTCATTCAATATTGTTGTATTCTTCATGATAGGACATAAATATTTCAATTTTTTAGGGCCAGTTAAATTTGCCGTGAAGATATACATGCCAAATGACACCTCCGTGGTATGTCTACATCTCAAAATCAACTCCATTTGCATGTACCATGCATTCTTATTAGCACCTGGCCCTATAATAACTACGAGACCAGCTTCTATACATCCAAAGTAAAGTTTAGGTCTATCATAGGGCCTTGAAAAATGTTTAAAAAAAATTTCCCACACAATTGAAAAATGTCTTGGATTTTAATCATGCTCCTGAATAATTTCAAACATACCGCCTGCTTTGGGTCGCTAACTTATTTTTGATGTCCCCAGATACGTAAATGTCAAGTATTATAACCCAGCTTTCGATTAGTGTAGGTTGGGGGTTCAAATTTTACATTTTAGCTATCCAGCGATAATGATTCTATTGAAATATTCATATATGTATCAAAAAAACTGTCACCTCCGGGGACATGAATATTTCGAGCTATGATCATTCTTTTTTACCGCTCGCCCCGTCAAAAGACTCGTTTTTCATGACCAAATTTCGGGTTGTGCGGAAAGTTTTGTGCGTTTCTTATTTTTCTTACATGGTTGATCAAAGCAGCGATTTGTCACCTCCGTGTGTTTCACCTCCGTAACCGAAAATAGTCAATTTTAAGCATAAAATCGAATATAGTTTTCGTAAAACGAAATCTCAGGGCCCCAGATTCAATGATTATTCATATTTTATGGTTTAAAAAAGGGTGAACTAGTTCGCGCCGTTCAATGTGACAAAAAAATTTTCACAATTTTTTCATTTTCTATACCCGAAAAAGCAGACTTCGGGAGAATCAACCATATATGATGACTTACCAAACGCAGGTATCTGCGATCCCGATATGCCTCGAATTCCTCGAATGTCTCGGCGGAAGTCTTGGTGTCGTGAGCCTGCGCGCTGGAGACGATGTTAACACGCACCATCGCGACTCCTTTGTCCTCGCGCTCGACCTCCGGGCCGTGATCGTGGATCTGTCCGAGGGCGATGCGTCGTCTCGGCCGCGCCCAGTAGCGAGCCCCGTAGGCCATGAGGTTCCGCCAGATCCCGAGACTGTGAACCCGCGCCAGATCGGCCAGAGTCGCTCGCGAGCGGGCCACGACGCGCTGCATCTTCGGCAGTAAAATAAAGCTCGCGACCACCGGCCCTGTCACCGCGACGAAGTAGACCGACTTACTAAACTGATTGTCGATCAGGCAATCTCCGTAGTAGAACGGTAGCGAGATCACGAGCGTGGCGACGTCCAAAGTAAAGGTGAGCGACGGGAATCTGTGGAGCGAGCCGCAGGAGAAGTAAAGCGTGGCCCAGGCGATCGTCTGGCCAATGATTATGCTGGCGAGCGCCTGCGGTATCCTTGAATGCGAATTATTGTTTATTGTAAGCCCTATATGCTACGTATGATGAAATCGATAGGCTTACCATCCTAAAGGTGCAGAGCTGATTTCATCGATTTTCAAATTTGTACTATTCGTATGAATTCTGCTTTTCGCATAAAAGCTACATTTCGTATAACTGGTAATTTTCGGCTGGTACAAGTACATATCTGAAAAGTTGCACAAAATTGCAGGATCATTGAAATTTACATCAAATTAAGCTTGCTTGAGAGAAATTCGCCTTTCGTATTGACTTACCATTGTAGAACACGGCGAACGCCAACGCGAGCATAACGATATAAAACATTGCCCCGTAGACGTAGTCGGATTTCGACCTCCGACGAGTTTGGTTCTTGACAAGTACCTCCCCGAAGGGATAGAACGGTATGGCCATACGATCTGCAAAGTTGGAGCGAATAGATCAAAGTTGGGCCCGATTGAGCTTGATAAACGATATCTTATATACGGGCTCGCCTAGGATACGTAGAGAGCTCAATTTTTTTTTAATTACTCGTTAAACACAGTACTTTGCGATGGTTTACGTTGAAAATATTGATATACACGTTTAAGACGGTTGGGTGTTAAATGGAAAATGAATAGATCGTGCTAAATATTTATCGGGGTTGTTCTTTGTGACTTTCTTGAAATTTTCCCAAAATTTCAGCCCCGATTGTCTTACTAACTTTCGAGAACGATTAATAAGTGGCGTTTTTAACACGAGCCAGAAATCGCACCTAATCAACTGTATCATGGTTATCTACCTACAGATGTGAATAAAAAACATACTATTCGTAGATAGCTTGAAACCTCACCTTTCTATTGATATTATTTAATATGCCCCGAACGAACTACTTGAAGAGATATTTAATGTTTTAACATGAATTTCGTCGTGTTTTCGCCCATCGCGGTGTCTCGTATGCTTGTAAATACCAACCTACATGCGCTGAATTTATACTATATTTCTATCTATCTGTACTATTATTATTATCATCACCCAGCTACCCTAAACAATCGATTTTTTTTCTGGTAACTCGATATTGACTCCAACCTATACATCGTGTATATGGATTTATAAAACAAAACAATTTCAAAATAATTTGTCTCCATGCGATTAAAATGGACGAAGATAAAAGCGTTTAAAAATTGACAAAATGATGATAACAATTTTTGTTGCCGAGTGTATATAATTATTCGAAAATGTCTGCAGATGTCAGAAGTAAGTCTCAACGAGAGTTGTCACATGATTGTAAGCAAACCGAAAGCTATAGGAACATGAGAGATAGATACTTGAAATGATAATGTCAAATTATTTAAATCAAGGAAACGTTACTTCGAAGTACAATAAGTAACGTATAGATTACGGATTAACGAATTCAAATTATTATTTACCATCGTCAATTTCTTGTTCTTCGTGTATCGTCGGTAGCATCTCTCCTTCTCACGCGTAGCCAGAACTTCGACCCTTCACTGCGGCTACAACCAAAATTTCTTCTTTTTTTTCTTTTTCTATTGTTGTCGTTTCTCCCCCCTCCTCCTCCTCCACCCCGGCTTCTTGCCGCCGCTTCAGCAGCTAAGGCCAGCTGCTTCTGTCTCTCTGTGGATCGGATGAATATATATTAATGTTTATTCTACGATTTTTACATATGTATGGTGGTTCGCTCGAGCCTAAAAATAAAAAAAACCGTATATAGCTACGAATCTTTCGCGTGGCTATTATCAGTGCTGTGGTTGAGAACGAGGGCATTTTTCGCCTAAAGTCATTCCATTTCGAGATTAAAAATGTGTAGTTTTTTTGAAATGATATTATTTAGAAAAAATTTTGCATGGTTTTTCATCATCATGTTTTTAATCATTGCATTTTTTTGATATAGTAATGCTAATCTTGAAACTCAATAGAGACTTTTAATTCACGTTATTAATAATAACTGACAACTTCTCAATAATATATTGATATTAATTTTTCTAAATTAATTAATGAATAAAATTAATGAATTTTTCTAAATTACCTGCAAAATCTACTGTACCGAACGCCTCGAACCCATACCGAATATTTTACACTTATATTTTACTTTCCCAAGCGTAGGATAGTATGTATAATTTCTCCTCTGCTCGCGTAAACAGTAAGCTACGCGTTGCGTATAATCGGCAAGGGATCCTCAGGGCAAGTTTACATGTCGATCGGGAAGGACAAAGGCGCACCTGTGGGATACGAGATCACTCGTAAAGTAAGCGAAAAAATTTGATATAACTTCGTTTTAGTCTCTGTGCGATCTGCAAATTTATGCGGTGTATTTGACTTTGGTGGCCGTATAACGTCAGTCTTCAGTGTCGAAGTTTTCTGCAGGTGAGTGGATTTTTACACCGCTTTTTTGGCCTAAAGAAAAAAAAATTACTGTAAATGTTTTACATCTAACTTGCCATTAATTGGTTTGTTTTTTGACGAATTTTCTATTAAATTTGTGTTGAAAATATTGAGCGTTTTTCAAAAGACTTGAAAATGATTGCTAGTTTGTTTAAAAAAATTTGGACCAGTTTTCAATCGGATTTAATACGATACTGCCATTTTCAGCTTTCACCACTAGATGTCCAGTACCTCCATGGGTAAGTCTGCAAGCGAAAAAGTCAGAATATTGGTATAAGTCTATGCATGACTATCAAAATGTTTGTCATTTTTGTTAGATGTAGCATTACACCACAGGCACAATCAGTGCGGCCGGCCTGCCCTACACTCTCCGCTGCTACCTCTGTAACCTAAGATCTGGGAGTGCGAGCCTACAGGCTTCGACTCGCGCGAGTCTAGTCTCACCGCACTTTTTTTTTGTTAACCGTCGTCTTATGCGTAACACTTAATAACAGAAAAAAATTGTTTATTATATATTTCTTTTTATACATAAACCGTGTTACACTTTCTTTCATCACCCACCCTCTGTAATATTACTCGAACAATTTCGATATTAATAACTGTTATGTGTGTATAACCCAAAAACGCGAATCATCCAATTACTTTAAAATGAAGTATTAAAAAAGGATGCTATGCTTGTTTCTCTAGGTTTTACTGCCTAATGCGACAAACACAGAAATTAGAAAAATTAGACCTTCAAAAATAGGTGGGTGATATCAAATTTCTTTATGAATTTTCATAAATGAAACTAAAATATGATCAAAATAAATAAAAATAAATTCCAAGCAAATTTATACATTTAATTATTTTTTATTTATTCATTTGGATGACATTACATTTTTGTACAGTTTATGAACACCCGGAAAAAAATGCTTATCGCTATTACATGTTTTTGTCTATAACCTGCAGCATATTGTAGCCTTTTTGAAGCTCTTTCGGCTCTACGACGTTTTTTAACATTATTAATAATTTTATACGCATGAGAAGTTGTTGCTCATTATTACTTATTTGATTGACTAAAAATGTAGTTCAGGTAGATAATATATTTTCAATAACATTACATTGCAAGGTGAGAAATTTATGTTAACGATGTTGAAACTAAAAAATGATGGACATAAAATTATTTTATATATTTCATGTATTGATTCATTTTTATATGTTAATTACAATATAGTTACTTAATCGCGAATATTCACGTATCCGCAAAAGTCGCGAAAATCGCTAATACTTTCGTATCCGTATCCCAAGGTACAGGCGACGCAGTCGATAAACATAAAAAAATATATTTTTATATTTGTGTGATTGTATATCTCCGTGGGATTAAAAAATGAAGTGGCTCAAAAACGCAATGTTCGGCGAAAAATTAAATATATTGGAGATGATGGGACAGCGCGTCAAGTGGTCGGGTAATGAACGAACGAGATGTGGTATTTTTGATCGGATACTTTGTTGTAAAGCAGCTGAATAACCAAGATTTTAGTAATGTTTGTTTTGCGACTGAAGTCCCAGTACAGAATGTAAATAACCAAGATTTCAATGATGTTTGCTCTGTGACTGCAGCCCCAATTCAGAATGTGATCAATAAAAAAAATTTAAAAAGGAAGTTAACGGAAAGTAGTGAGGAACATACTTGAGCCAGAAGACCCTTGCGGGTTAAAAAAGTCCTAAAAAAGCAGCAAGATTATGAATGTTAAAAATGTTCTTCTTTATACTTTTTGAAGAATTAAATAATAATCAGTTATTAATAAGTCAATAACGTCTCGATGGGGATCTCTGAGAAGACAAAAGAGGTACTAGTTTACATTTTTGCATTTATGTATAGATTTGTACTTATTAATAAAGAATGTAAATATCGTAAATGTTTGATGATTAAAAATAGTCCCATTAATTTCATTAGTTTCTGTTGTTGACTGAGAAGGGAGGGAACATGAAATAAAGTGTATAACGCTCAAGTGAGTTTTACACACAAGACTTTATTACAAAAACTTAATACTATTAAAACAAAGCTTACAAACTAGTTCGGTCGATGATTGTCGATCTTCAAGGCTGGTAGTGCCGCCTGGTCGCTGCGGCTAGGCTGCTGCTAGGGTGTCGCTTTGCTGCTCTTGGCCGTCCGCGGTCGCGGCTACCTGGGTGGTGATGGCGGCGGCTTAGCTGCTGCTTGTCCGACGGGTAGACGGCTGGTGCAAGCACTCCCACGAGCTTTACCGTTCGCGAATACAATAAGTCACTTCGACACTCGCGCTGTATAATTACAGTTACAAAAGCTAGTGCGCTGATAATAAATTTCTATTGCTTCTCACGAAATACAAGTATGTTTAATCCGTAGTTACTCGTTAAGTATATTTTATTACAAGTCCGTTTAATGTATCGCGGAGTCGCCATTATAAAATATCGAGTGTTCGCGCACAGAGCTTCGCCGTACTCGACTGTAAAGAATGATCTGCCCAGAGCTTCGCCTTACTTGACTGTATAAAATGATCTGCCTCGAGCCGTAATTTTTGTGCTCATTATATACTAATTAAATCATGCATCTTTTCGGTGGGGGCATCTCTTGGTGGTTTTTCCCTCAATAACTAAACTACTTGTTTTTTTGTTGCTAAATGATCTGTGTCGCTGGTTCGAGCTTGTGTCGTTCTATTTACCCATATTTGGGCAGATCTTCTCGGAGCTCGGTCACACTGTGATTTTAAAGTGACCCGAAGATCAAACTCCCGGTGATAAGGGGACCTGTGAGTGCGCGTGCGGTTATGTTTCTTTCTTTGCATCATTTTGAAGAAGGCCACGGGTTTCACCCCCTGTGCGTGTGTCGTGCCTTCTCTGTGTTCGGCTAGCACACATGCGAGTGCATTTACGCTAAATACATTCGTGTGCAGAGGCCTGATCTAACGCGTCGGCGCAGGTTGGCCGGGCACATCCACACGTACATTCAAGCGATGGCTTTCGCCTGTCTCTGTAATTGGCTTACACACATGCGCGAGTACACACACGCGAGATACATATATGTGCTGCTCGATCTAATGCGCCGGTGTGCGTTGGCCGCTTACACTCACACGTACATTTAAACGACAGTTGGGCCTACGTACGCGTAACATAATGTACATCTTAAATGTACATGTGTGTTCATATGCCGGTCTAATTTGCATCATTTTAATTATTATATTTTAATTTTACAATACTTGATGCTAGGTTATTGTTATATAACAGCACTATAAAAAAAATCGTTGATGAAAGAAAAGCGGTTAGAGCTTTAAAAATCTGAAAAGCAAAAAAAAATCGTGATAAAAGCTAAACCAGTAATTGTCTTATAGCTATAGTTTTTTTTAGTTATTTATAATTACTATTTATATGTATCGCATGTGCACCTAACTTTTAGAAAAAGAGTGAAAAACAAAAATCAGTTCAGTAATATACTATTACAAGCAACTTCTGTCCCTGTGGAAATACTTTTTTTCAGAGACAAGCCTTGTTGTAAATACCAAAAGAAGTTCTCTCAAAGATGAAAGTATAAGCAAACTGATCTGTATTAATCGATGGATGAGGAGCTCTTTGAAGCGAGAAATTGGCGAAGTTTAATAGAAGTTTAATTTTAGAGTTAAATTGTAAGAAGTTTTTAGTGTAGAGCTTTACTTCTGTAATAGTTTTAACTTTTTGATGTTTTTCATTGCAACGTTGTGCCCTCGGCAAACGGTAGTCGCGTCGGCTACGAGGAGATTATAATACTAAATTTGAAATATTCGCATTCTATTTTTGCAGATACTCAAGCGCCGCAGCACGACGCGCCAGGCCACTGTGGCGTTCGGGCGTAAGCACGGCAATGTTTATGTCCGAAGTAGCCCGTGTACTGGATGATGCGACGCAACATGCCGAGACAGGGTGGCATTCCGAAGGAGATGAAGTCGCAACGAACTTCGGCGTCACAGACTTGTCAGGTCGCCAGGAGGAGCCTTAGTGGGAGACAGAGTATAAGGCCTCCCTCTTCGGGACCAAACCGAAGCGGCGAGGCGCCGTATTCGACGGCCGGCACGACATGCCACGCGATGCCCGGATCGAACCGCCAAGTGGTGGCTGCTTCATCTGCTGGGACACGCACCAGGCTACCAACGCTGGCTGCAGAGCCATTCTCGTCGCGACGGTCCCGCCACCCGCGAGGCGATCACCCAGCGATCTCCCTCATCCATCGCGGCGTTGCGCGCACCGTCACCGCCACGCAGCCCCTCTACCTTCAGTGAGATCGTGGAGCTACCCGCTGCCTCGGCTACAAGACCTTCGCCTTCATCTCCGCCCGAAAAGCTCCGCCACTGCGAGCTACTTCACGGGCCATCGAACCATTGCCTCGCGTGGAGGAACGAGCGCTCGTGGCCCAAGCTGCCGCGCTGCAACTGAATTTCACAATTATTTGCAGGAGTGGATTCAAGCTATGAATGAAGAGATGAAGGCTTTCGATGAAAACGAAACATGGAATTTGGTCCATTTACCACCAAACAAACATGTTATCGACGACTGATGGGTGCTTCGGATCAAATACAAGCTGGACGGCGCAATTGACCGATTTCGAGCTCGTTTGGTTGCCTTTGGAATTTTCAGCCTTCATCCCAGCCAAACCTTCAGCCCAGTCGCTAGATATGACTCAATCAGAGCTCTCATCGCCACAGCATCGAATGAAAAATTAATATTGGGCCAGTTCGACATCAAATCAGCATTTGTTCGCGTTCTTGCCACTAGGTGGCGACATGGCGCTTTAGCGACATCCGCAAGCAACCGAGTCGAGTTGGGAGGATATAAGTGAGAGCGACGCAGCACAGAGTCGATCTGGCTTTACCTCACTCTTCTCCTTGTATATCGGTGTGCGAGAAGACTCCTCGCGAGGATTTCGGCTTCCGCACTAGCTTTTTTTTTTAGCGAGTTGTAATTCATTATTAATTTTCTGAGTGATATGTCCCTGGATAGATTTGGCAATTCCATCTGTCATTCCCAATCTCACGAATATTTGAACGAGTATTTTTTTAATTTCTTCTATTGGGTTTGCAAAATCAAATAGTCTTTTTTCGGCAAGAACCATGTAGTGAAGCATCGTATTGATCATATCGACAAGCCAATCGTAGGATTCGATGAAAATTTTTGGTTTAACCGCAGCATTAAAATACTTCACAAGGTTTTTTGGAGAACTATACTGCAAAACTTCTTTGGGATCGGCGCTTCGTAGGATTGGATGAGATTCATCAGTAAATTCGGTTACTTTATGAATAACTTCCAATGGTATTTTTTCTTCCGGAAATGATTTGTACAACTCATCCAGAATGTTTTCAAAGTTCTGTAGTATGTGTAAATGGATGAGACTTCTCGAACCACGTATGCCTTCTAAATTTTTCACAGACTCCGGTTTGGCGCCGCATGACAAAAGAGCCTTGACCAAGGGTAAATTTAAAGCAGAAGCAGCGTTCTGCAAAATCGACCTTCCTCTTTTGTCGGTTTTTTCAATATCAGCGTTCCAAGCGCAGAGTAACTCCACAAGTTTTGGACTATCACTGTGTGACATCGGAACGTAATGCAACACTGAGCCCTTCGCAAGCGGAAAATCGACGTTCATTAGCGCCCCATTTTTAAGAATTAATTCGACGGCTTCGTACTGTGCGTACTGAACCGCCGTAATGAGAGGAGTCACCCAATTATTTTTTAAACGCACTCGTTCATTCACATCGACTTTATTGTCAATGAACTTCTGAATAAAGTCGAGGCGTCCCACTTTCTTTACTATGTAATACCACCCGGATTTTCGTAAATACAATATTTTCAGCATTGGTCAACTGTTCCCTACAATGAAACGAATTTTTAAAATTTTTTTTATAAGGTCTGGAATTGGGGCCTACTAAAATGACAATGAATACAGATACTCACTCAAAATTTAATTTTTCTTGGTCGTTCAGCTCACCTTTCTCGCGACGCTCGTATAGATCCTTCAAAATGGGATTTAATTTGAAGACCCAGCTGAGCGGCGTTAAATTCGGTAGCGAGACCTTGGATAGCTCACACGCTTGTGAGTACAGTCGAATGACATCTATATTGGTATGGGTTAATTTTTTGGCAATTAGATCGACGCTCATGTTAGAACCGGCACACACCAAAATTCTTACGGTTGGACTTTGTTCTCTCAAAGCATGGATAATTTTTAAACAGGTATGACTTTTTCCTGTTCCTGGAGGACCGTGTATTAGAAAAAGATTATTATCTAAAGCCTTTTGTATGGCTTCAATTTGTCTTTCATTACAGCCGGTTAGATTCTTGGTACTGATGGAATTTGTTTTTTCATTCGTGTTGTCGATGACGGATAATCTATTTAATAAAATTGAAACAAAATAACCAAGTTTTTCATCCTTCTGATCTAGTTTTTTTAATTTTGTTAAAGCTTGTTTCATCCTGAAAAATAAAGATAAGTTAGATTATTGTATTTGCGTAGATTCAAGAGATGGTTTTTCTTCTTATCTTCCTCGGGAAGCTCTATAATGGACTCTGATGTGTGTGAGTGCGCGCGCGTGTACTCTCTTCAATTCTTAGCTTTTTGGCTAAGAAGCTGACCCAGCTGCTGGTACTACCCAAAGTATACTGAATTAGCTTCATTTTACACATATATAAATTTTTTTTATCTCAGCTTCATTTTCTCATTCAATTAATATTTCACATGAACAAAGGATTGATGTCAATTTTTGAAAGAAGTTTTTTTTATTAACTTGAAAAAGATGATGCTTTGTAAAATTTGAATACTCACCTATAGAATGCCGTTTCATTCATTTTTTGAGTAATGGAATACCCATCCTGCAATTCTTTCCTCAAACTTTGACCATTTTTTAATTTTATTTCATATTCCTCATTAGTATAATCAACAGGCACATTAAGAACAGTGGCTGACATCTGATACTCTACGGTATTCTTCAAGCGAACTACTAATTGATCGAACAACTTTATTTTGAAAAAATCGTCTCTCGCTGGATCAAGTTTGAAATAACCTGTGGGTTGCTCTCTACAAATTGTATGATAATGTTGTATGATAGAAAAAATTGTATGATAATGTTCTGTGCTATCAAATATTTCAGGAATTTTGACTACGGCACAATCACATTACTTATTATCTATAATAGTAGAGAAAAAATATCTTTATTTAAAAAACTGTTTACTCCATAAAATATTTCAAGCTTTGCACAATACATCAAGATTTTTTACCTTGTGATTGAAAAAGAAACGATTTTCTTTACACGTTGTTATATACCCTTTAATACGGGGTAATAACTTTATAATTTGAATATTAAATATTACTTTCTGTTGTGTCTGAGTGGGGAAGGATCATGAAATAAAGTGTATAACGCTCAAGTGAGATTTACACACAAGACTTTATTACAAGAAAACTAATAACTATTGAACAAGCTTACAAAATAAGTGTGGCCGATGGTCGTCGATATGTAGGGCTGCAAACGCCGTCGGGGCGCTACCGTTGTTGCTGTTGCTGGAGCGTTACCCTGATGCTGCTTGGCCGCCGGTCGCGGCTGCCTCGGTGGTGTTGCGGTGGCTGCTACAGTGACGGTCGTCGCTGATGTTGGGCTGTTGCGCTGCTGGGCTGGGTGAAGCACTCACTCGAGCTTTACCGTTCGCGAATACAATTAACAATTTCGATGGTCGCGGCGTATAAGTACAAGTACAAGTTAGTCGCTGTTATTGACTCGCGCTTGGTTCTCACTAAGTACAAAATGTGCAATTCGCGTTGTATTACAAGTCCGTTAAATATTCCAAGTCGCTGTTACACTGATTTGATTATTCGCGCGCACAGAGCTTCGCCTTACTCGACTCTTTAGGATGATCTGCCCAGAGCTTCGCCCTGCTCGACTGTATAAAATGATCTGCCCAGAGGCCTAATTTTCATGCATGTTATATACTAATTAAATCATGGACCTTTTGGCGGGGGTACGTCTTGGGTTTTTCCCGCAAGTCGTAAATCTACCAGCTATTTCGTCACTTGTTGACTCGGTTTCCGCTAGGCCAGTGTGCCCAATGGTTATCTGAGGTCAGAGGTCAAACTTGGGGGAGATATGGGACTTGCGAGCGCGCGTGCGAACCTGCTTCTCCCCTTTGTGCCAATTCAAATTATTCCACGAGTCTCGTCTCGCATGTGTGTGTTATGTCTTCTTTGTGTTTGACTTACACACACACGCGAGTACACATACACGGAATATATACGCGTGCGAAGGCTTGATCTAATGCGTCGGTAATGTTGCTCGCGCACGTCCGTACATACCTTCAGCCTTTGCCTTGCTCTGTGTTCGGCTGATACACATATGCGCGTGGGTTCGATCTAATGCGCCGATGTGTGTTGGCCGCTTACATTCACACACACATTCATGCGACAGCGCCTGCCTGTCTCTGTGTTCATCTTACACACATGCCTCTTTACGCGAGATCAGGCGTCATACGTGTTAATTTGACGGTCTTATTTTAATTATTATATTTAAATTTTACTATACCCAACGCTGGGTTATTGGTATATAACAACGTCTTATGAAAACCACTAATCATGTGGGTTTGAAGTTGTGTAATTTCAATTTGACACTCAGAGCAGGTTTTATGACGAGTTTCTTTCAGTAACTTAGAGAATTGTTTATGACGACCATTAAATTGCAAATGTTGTTTAATACCATTGGCTCCATCATTTATTTGTACTTGGCAAGCAAAACATATACTTTTATAATCCATGGGGCTCTTTTGTACACTCAAAAGTTGAATATTCTTTAGAGAGCTCAATGAAACCACTATGGTGTTATCAAAGAGCTTTTTACACATGTCATTGTCCAAATCAAGAGGTTCAGCAAGTGAACTGTCTGACGCTGGTGGTCATTGACCTGTAGATGCTGTGACACATCGTCTTCATTTTTCAAGAGCTTCTCACAGGGCCAACATTGATATTTCAATTTTCCTTCCTGAGGAAGTGTAATCACACCATTGACCAAAAATTTCTTGTAATCCATTTCAACATGTAACTCAAATACTAGATGTACACATAAAAAAAACATAATTATTGTACATAGATTACATAGTAAAGAAAGTGGGACGCCTCGACTTTATTCAATTTGGAAAAGTGTTGTTTTTTCATGGAACCACTTCAAGTTAAGTCTATGCTCGCAATCATCAAAGAGAATTTGAAGAATATCAAAATTTTCTTTTTTAAATGCCCCATGAATTGGAGTTAGATTAACTAGATCAACGTCATCTTCAATGGTGTAGGAAGATAATTGTAATCCACTTTGCCCGACGAATTTAGCGATTCGCTTATTATTTTTTTTTACTGCCTCCATCAATAGATTAGCGAGACTTTCGCGATCACTCCAAAACTCGTCGCCGAAGTTGAGTGAACGTAATCTTTTGATTGTTGCAAAAAAAGTGAATAAAATTTTGCCGCCGTGAGAGCTGTATAAGTAATCTTTCGCACACAGTGTCACTGCTTATCTCGGTCCTAACGAGTGTCTCGAGAAACGATCGCGTCACGTCGTCACAGCTCTCTCGCCACCTCAGCCATACTAATGTATAATATACAATTTGAATTATGTTTTACACAGCAGTAGTAGCGAGACGCATGTGTGCGAATATGTGTGAGTGGGCATACTGCTTGTCGCGAAACTCATGATGCCAGTAGATATTTTGAAGCAGAGGGGACGAATTGGTCACGTGATCAATTCGCTCCGGCAAGCCACGCCGCGTGGGGTGTAATTTTATCACGTCGTACGTCGCAAGTGCGTGTACCCGATGCACGACCCGGACTAGCGTAAACCAGTAGCGCTGAATGTCGCGGGTGCGTGCGGTATGTACGACTTGGACTCGCGTGTGCGCCTTCGGACGAGCTTGATTGTCGGAACACGTAAGCGGTGTCGCGGGCCGGATCTTCACGTTATCTTTTCGTCATTGCGACTTCGTGAACCATGCGTGCCAGCAGCAGCCCATGCGAGCGAGAGGGTCAAGCCAACTGCGACTACTACGAGCGGCCATGGATGGCAGCGGCGTACAACGCCTGTAAGTACCACTCGAGTACTCTGACCTCTCGTGCGTGTGAAATCGCGTCTCTGTGTGACTGTGTGAGTGTGTCTCTGATTGCGCTGCTGCGTCCGCTATTCGGAAGTCTTGTTCAATAAATACTTCTATATTTTGTTACTTCATTTGTTACTCCCTTTTTGTTATTTTGGCAAACCTTTCCCCGTTTAACTTCATCCTAGGTTGGACCACGATCCGCGGTGGTAAGAAATTAGCACCGAGTACTGAGTTAGCCGGCTACCAACGCCAGGACGCGCATCGCCGAGGATTCTTAACGAATACTAGTGTACATATTAGTCCTTATGCCACCCTACCTGGCTATTTACACATACCAAGTAGACGGTTGCCGGGATAGAGGAGAAGGTGGTAAAATCACTAGCCAGTGAGGATTAGTATTCTAGCCACTACTGATGGGGAAAAATACAACCTGCCCTTTTTTCCAAGAGACTTCGTTTGTTTTCTTCAACACTTTCAAAATCGAAAAAATGTATTACCGAACTCAATACTCTAACTGAAAGAATTATAATTAACACATTATGATATATTTGAATTTAATTTTAAACGCGTAATTTAAAATCAGCTGTCCTCAAATTATCTGTATTGGTTACTTGAGCATTCATACTGCTCAAGTCCAATATTTGCATTCTATTCCCACTCATTTTCACTATTTTATTAATTATTAATAAAAATTAATATATTAATTGAAAAAATAAGTTGTTATCGTTACACTGTAGCAGCTACGATGAAACTGACCTTCGTGCACTTCCTTTTGTGATAAGCAATGTACTTTCATTAATGCAGACGGCTTTCGGTGGCGGTGCGATGAAACGCGCGGTCCATTCCAAGATATTGCGCTGAGCAAATTCCAGCGGCACGCTTGGAAATATTCCGAGTTTCAAAAATCTGTGATTATTCCGTAGCGTCACAGTATTCATTCGTGCCCGCGCGGGGAAACATTACATGAGACATAGTGTGGGATATGTCCATGTGTAGCGCTACGGAATCATTCTGTTATGACCCAGTCACGAGAACGGAGTCGCGTCGCTTCGTTCCCTACTGGTACGCGTAGCTGCTTATTCCTTCGGTGGGGTTGCTCCTCGATAAACGCGTAGAAACGCGAAGAAGCTGCTGCGTCCCTCCTCGGTAGTGATGTGCCTCCGAAGGTGGAAAATAATGACCTCAACGAGGTGGGCCGACGTTGCCTCAACTCTGGCGAGGAGGACTTACGTCAGGGGAGGTCACGTCAACGAGTGCAACGGTCTCGTTGCTGCTCGATATGCGCGTGCTCCGTTCGTTCGAGTCGCAAGTCGGAGCTTGCGAGGGGCGGTCGGTGATCTGCGGGTCGTGAGACTCCGTGGCGCGACTCTTTCCTCTGGACGATCTTGCCCGTGCCGAGAGTCAAGAGGACATCCGCCCAGGTTGATTCCCGAACACGAGGTCGACTGAGGAGAGGGGAAGAGGGAGTATCGGCACTCGATCGTCAGAGTCTCGCACCGGGATATTCTCCCGTGTACGATGCTGTGGCGATGAGCGACTGTGATGCTCTCGTTCGAAGGACTATGTCCGGTAATTAGCTCAGAGGCTAAGTTCGCTAATCACTCTCGAGCCTAAGTCCACTAACTGGCTCTGCGGCTGAGTCCTTCGCGGATATGCTCCTAACAAAGGTTAAGTCCAGCAGAGGTTCGTTAATGAAATCGGTTCGCAAGTAAGAGCTGACTGAGGTAGTGCTCGGTTGGTCGTTCAAGAATGACTGGCCACGGCTCGGATGCTCCTCTCCTTTTATACTCGTGGTCTGGCGAAAGGTGGGGAGAAAGAGAAGGTAAGAAAGAAAGAAAGAGAGA